ACAACGTCATGCATTGAACTGTAAAGTAAATGTTGGAAAAGTTAAAGGGTTATTTCTTTCGAACAAGATGATCTAGACGAATTACTTTGTGGAACCAATTGCATTTCTTGTTCTGTTTTTCAAATATTTGTCGTAAAAAAACTGATTTAATGATCTCATTAAGCACTTTTACGTGGAAATGATGTATGTAGTATTACATAGCCTATTATTTTATTTTGCTGGAAGCTTGTTGTTTCCATGGTATCACGCAACAATGATTAAACCTGATACTATTGACACCATCCATAAATCTCTTGAGATAATTTCCATTAAAGAATTTAATTTTTTTTGTAGCTTTATAATCTACCTGGCCTCATTAGAAAATCTAGAACGACATGGCTTTACACGTGTATCTGGGACACTTAAAGGTCTTGTAAAGAGGTTTTTTGATATTTTTTTATGTGCATCGGGACGCTTCAATTTGCACCATTCCAATCCGCAATTCCACTAAAACTTGGTGTTTGATGACGTTACTAATCGAGAAGGGCCTTATGTGATAAAGCATCTTCATCAAGCACTTAGTGTTAGGGTGTATTGAGACGTGTCTCAATGAAAGCATTGGCCTAGATCACAGAGCAATAGATAAGTCTATTAATTATGTGAAAATTAGTTAGTCATTAGTATGATTTTAGTTGAAAAGACACACACACAAACATACACTGCATGTTATATAATATACTGTATATAGCCATGGCACCAGTCCTGCAGATTTGCAGGAACCACAGATTGTCTGATTGCAAATTGGAATGGTGTAAATTGATCCTATCAGTGTTCCAGATACACAAAAAATGTAGAAAACTTCTTTACAATCCCTTTAAGTATCAATGGATGAGGCAAGACAGTGTGGAATTATCGATGAAAATACGTAACAGAAGAAGTGAGATAAAAGAGGTACAGATGTAGAAAAGATTTGCTTCTTCCATTTTGTACTGTATCGATAATTTTACGCAGCAACGGACCTCACTCATATGTCCGAATTACGCACCTGCGTCTACTAGCACCTTTAAATCTTCTATCAATTCGATTTTATTCCCCCTTGTGGTATTCCTTATTTTTTTCTTACAACAACGAAAGGGAAACATTCCCCCCTAAATCGAATCTTATATGATTCGAATCGAATATTATCCTAAATTGTAATCATATGAATCAAACAACCCAAAGTAGGAAAAATGGATAAATATTTGATCAAAAAAGACAAATTGCTTGATGGTTCCGACACTACTACGACTAAAACTGGTATCAAAACCACAACGGGCAACACCCCGGATGCAGTACCAAGATGCTCTGAAAAGACACACTCGGTTCTAGCACCGCTATGTGTGAAAGCCGCTTTTCAACTCTTACCTGCGTTGACTCACCACAACGACGATATATGACTCAAATTCGCAAGCGCAATCTTGTTCTTCTTGCCTTTAACAGGAAGTGTACCCAGAAAATTAACTTAGACGTATTTGTTCAACGTTTTGCCATAAAACATACCCGACTACGTTTAAACTAAAACGGCAATAAAAATGTAACGTATTATAACTTGTGTTTTAACAAAAATAATCTCGAATCTAAAAACTCTGTGAAAGTCCGTTTCCCGACGTTTAATCGTCGTCAAGGTGCTTTCCTAAATTGCCCCCCCCCCCCTCGATAATTAGATCAATGGGTTGTAAGTAGCATATTTTCAAAATATTTTCAGGTATGAATTACGACTTTCTTTGATAATGAACATTTTTCATAATTGACGTTTCATTAACTTTATTTGCTTGTAACGTTTTGTAAGGAACTGATTTTCAATTTTTTTCAACAAAAATTCAGATTTTACTAGCCTTCTAGACTATTTATTATATATTATATATCAAAATATATCAAGTACATTGGTACTTTGAAATATGATTTACAGGTCTACGATACATTAAAATAAACATATTCTAGATTACTCTTAATTTACGATCAATATTTACAATGTGTGTTTAAATTTTACTTGTAATTATTACTTAGGGTAAACTTTGTATACCGGCATACAATAAACCGCAATACTTTTTTTTATTTTTTTTTATTAAAGTTTGTATAAGCAGGCGAAAAGTACAGCATTCCAATGTAGACCAAAGGTAAAAAATATAAAAAATGACAAGTCGAAGTTTACTTTGAACATTTACGAGTTGGCTATAAACAACATAATCTGTAATATTCGTTTATGTAAATAAACACGAATGGCTAAGTTTAGTTCTTGAAGATTTCAGATCTTAGAAATTCGAAAATAGATAAAGTCGACTTTGACCTTCTAGCTAAAATTTGTGCATCTGCAACGTGTCGATGTAAAGATAAGAATGATTTATGTACATCTTATGTGGTCTTGAAGAGTTCGTTTTTAGTACATTAAAATGTAATTCACTGGCATATTTACACAGCATTAGACAGAAAAATGAAAGTTTGAGATAGTCTATAAGGATACAGTCGTCATAATATGTATCAGTGTCAGTGTTAAGCCGACTGTAAGTTCGTTGATAAAGTAATGTTTTGATGCTTAGGTCGTTATAACATTCTCACGTGCATTTATTACGTTTGGGTTTTCAACATGCCTCGTATACCACTTTATCAAAGTGTATCCTGGCAACAACCGGGAAATGTAGATCTAAAATGGACAAATAAAGTCCACAATAAAAAATTATTATTACCTATGCCTATTTAAATATTGTTTTGTTTTATCAGCAAAAATTGCCCTAAGTTCAGCAAGCAAGCTGTTCACAACTAAGTAATTTTATAAGAGTGAGAACCCAAAAAATCGAAATGAGTCGATCATAAGCCATTGATTTCAACAACACGTGTCTTTTATCTGTTTATTTACAAATACCTTGATGACCGCACCTGGAATTTTTTGATATACCAACTATATTTCTTGAATATTCGTTTACGTTTGATAATAACTTCAAGATAATGAATATAATGAAAAACAAAATCCCATTTACCGGTCAATTCACGGTTGTGCCTAACATGTACAGTTATGAAAAGATGGTATATTTTATGCCGAAACACCTGCTTGTATATCCCAGCCTCTGATAGCTTTTTGACAACTGTCAAAATAAAGTAGCTATCAGAGGCTCGAATAGAGCCTGATGTTTCGAACTACATATTGTATTCTTATGCTTGCAGTAAGGTCATTCTCTTCAATTCTCTGTAGTTAAGTTTCCACAAAGGCGTATGTTGCAGAGCGTTGGAACTTTCATGGTAGACCTTGCTTGAAGCTACTGTTTTATATCTGTTGTCTCTATCTGTATTTAGTTCAAATAAATTTGATATCATGATCCGCGTCTGTGGTATGGCCGTGCCTGATATTTTTGTGTAAGGTAAGATCCTTTGACTTGTTCAACAAATATCAAGACGACCATAGCCCTTTAAGAAGAATAGAAAGAAGCCAGTATTAATAATTAATATAATCTGAATGTGGTGTCATTTGAATGTAACTCAGTACAAATTATAAGTTTCCTGTTAATCTGATTCCCCTGAGCTATACATCCGTTCAATAGGCGTTTCTTCCTCTCATTCTTCTGCTCTATCAATCTTTCATTCCTTTATATCCGTCATTGATCTTACCCTAGACTAAACTATTCACTACATCATTTAGCTTTACAATTGTTTTGTTCTTAATTTCCAAGCTTCTGTTTTTCAAATACCATTCAACTCAATAGGAGCAGTGGCATACAATATGGCGAAGTTTTATGGAATTACAGGAACCACGGAAGTCTGACAGGAATGATATAAACAGAAGCTTTCATGATAAAGCGCACTTTAAAACATTTGAAATGATTTATCAGTGTTCTTAAGGTCTCTGCTTCATAAATTGATCATTTTCTTCATTAGCCCATAAGGTGCGGAAAAGTAGGTCCTAAAACTCCTTTCATTTCATTTTTTTCATAGATTTATCAATGGAGGTGTTCTTCAGTACATTGTCCTTACTTGATTCACAGTTCCATTATCCGAAAAACTCATTTACTAGGCTATTATATAGATGGGATCGTGGTTCACTTTATCTATCCATTGTAACCTCTTTTTCATATGAGAAGGGTTTCTGTTCTTTAAATAGTCACCGAGTTCGTCTGAGTGTTTATGTTTACAAGACGAACCATTATATAACTATAACTTTGTTGCCGGTTTGAATATCACGTGACATCATGGTTTTTTAAAAAATATATTATTGATCTCCACAAGAGGGTTGCCTGTTTTCATTATCGTATAAGGTGCAGAAAAGTAAGACGCAAAACTCCATTAATTTCATTTTGCATCAGTGAACACGTTAGAATGATGTTATAGTACTGGACTTGTTGAAGAGAAGACAGGTCTATAAGTACTGGTTTTGATTTAAAACCAACTCTCCTATATGAAATCCATAGTTTCTCTTTTTGAAAAGAAAAGTAGTATAGCTAGTTACCGAGCGTCTCCACTATTCATCAAGTTATTATTATACGGATTCAGTCTTACAGTTATGTCATCACTCAACTTATAGAAATCAATTTAGCTTTCGGTACAACAAATATTTGTATAGCTGAAGAATAACTTTCGTTTTTATATATTCATGTTCATAAAGAAAGTAATCCTTGTTGAATATCATTTGCTTGGAACCAGCAAACAGAAAACTTTCACTGGAAGTTATGCCTATATTCCTAAATTAGTTTATGCAATCATTTTTCTCATAGCAAATTTATTCTACTGATTTGAAAATTTTTCAGTATATAATATTGATTTTTCGATTTTAATTTCAGGGTTTACCCACCAATATCTCCAAATGAATGCAATCATTAAAGAAGGCAGTGCGCCATCTTTAAAATTCGCTGGCTTTCCTTGTAACCAATTCGGCCATCAGGAACCAGCAGCCAATATGACGGAATTACTGAATGGTTTACGATACGTTCGACCAGGATCCGGCTATATACCAAAATTTGATCTTTTTAAGAAAATTGACGTGAATGGTGAGAAAGAATCTAAATTATATAAATTTCTCAAGGTGAGTCAGAAGCAATTAGTCTGAAACTCAGATTGTGGTATCCGACTTCTGTCAAAAATTACTAATGTAGGCCTAAGTTCCGGACTAGTACTAAAAATTCATCTAATGATAAGCAAGCGTCTTCTGAATCTCTGATTTACATAAAAATACCCACCATCTTTTATGAATTCACATACATGAGTTGGAATTGAGAGATTCAAATATGCATTTCACTATCAAGAAAAATTCTGATTCCTGTGCCAGTGCTTCCGAGAGTCGACCCGATGACTACCAAAACGGTTATTGTTCTTGAGATCTGTTGAAATTTTACGTTTCTAGGCCCTGATTCCATTTTTGATATTTCTTTCTAGGCATCTTGCAGAACTCCAGATGAAGGCAAATTCGCGAAATCTGAGGTTTTTTCAGACCCAATTCGACCCACTGATGTGACATGGAACTTCGAAAAATTCGTCATAGATGCCAGTGGCCGCCCAATGTTTCGGTTTTTGCCAAATGTCGAACCAAACGATTTAATTGATCTAGTAAAGGCTATGTCATCCGGATCAGCGACCGTCAAAGAACTTGAGAGTCACCTGTTGGAAATTGACCGTCGAACACAAACCCGTCTTGATGAGGACAAATCAAGTTCCAGCATGACAACATCACAACCTACTGGTAGTACTTGACGTTTGCTGCCGACTGGTGCTGTAGATTATCTCCCCCTTATTTTGACCTATTTCTTTTCTGTTGGTCATCAAATTTTTTAAATCCTTAGTTCAAATACCAAGCTTTTGGCGGATCAGACAATTACGTTTCAAAAATACATTATTACATTTTATTTAGTTCAGTTGTATTTTTCTAGTGTCACATTCAAGCTTAAAATCAGCTGCAGATGGGTCTACAGCCCAGATGAATTTTAAGATGCATTTAAGGGAATAGTTCCAGGTGATACCGACGGAAAAATTGCATGGAATTATCCCTTCAGTTGTATATATTACATATAAATATATATACTAACATGTGCTAATTGTACTAATATTCTTTTATTGTTTTATCTGTATTACTCCCTCTTATGTTCACCTACTAACATTCAAGGAAATTTAATCAACGATTTTTCAGCAGAGATCATGACGCCGTCAATTATGACGTTGTCTCATCTAAAACTGTCGTCTGCGACCGGGGTGAGTAACTGATAGCGAAGTGACGTCATAGACTTTTGCATTCGGTCTATGGTGTTCATCAGCGTATGGTGTCAAGACCTCTGTTGGAAAGGACTGATTTCATTGACTTGAAAACTTTTACTAATTTCCCAATAAATCATCATATTTTTCTGTAAATGTCTTTTTATATCGAACACAGAGAAGAGAGGAGGCTAGGCCTACTGCTGCAGACAAATGTGCTAGGTTGGAACAATGGCCGTTTACACGAGCAGAGTTAGTTCTTCCAAACGCGTACAATATTAGCCCATAATCACTTTGGATTCACATGATTTAATGTTTGCAGTTGCTTTAAGTTTCTGGCGGCACCGGAGGATTTTGTCACAAGATACATGTTAAGTCCAAAGAAATTCGGTAGGAGGCCTACGGAAAATTGGTCGCGTATAAAATCTAAAAGGGGGGCCGCTGTGGATGTTAAGTTTAAACACCATTTAGTCCGTTTTAAAATCAAAACAAAATGGCTGCTTATCAGATGAGAATTCTTCATTAGAGACTAAATCTGCACAAAATTCCATTTTGAGGGGTAGATCACCTTAGAAGATGTCACAGAGGATCAATCAAGACAGAGGTATAGGTTTTTGGCAACCTCCATCTATCACATTTTTCTCGATAACGCCGTTTGATTTATTGCGCTTAGAGTGTGACGCGCTTTAACGTAATACAACTTTAAGCGAATTCGATGCGATATGCAGCCCCAGAACATCAAACATTCCATTTGTTGCTCTCGATGGTTCAATTCTCTAATTCGTCGACACATGTTTGAACTTAGCCCTTGTATTTCTAATTGTTATAATTAAATTGCTTTATAAGTGTTTGCTGCAGAACGCTCTTAACATTTGATGCCGCAGTTCTTAAATCGCATAATCCCTTCATACAGAATCAGAAAAATAGATCCTTTTTATAGGGATTTTTACCTCCGTGCGGAGCTTTCAAACCTATTTATTATCACGGATCGGTCAAACCCTTATCTTTTCGGAACGGTGTCTTGAATCCTCCGCCGAAGGCAGACTACCTCCGTCATCCCACCAGGTCATTTGAGACTTGATATTCGCGAATTGAAAAGCACGATTTTCTGATGCAGTCTTCAATAAAAAGTTAGAATGTTTTTATTACGTTTCTGCGCGCCATGTTATTTTTTTCTAAAAGTCGAAAATGCAGTCGCCGACATTATCTCTACTCACAAGTAAAATTGAAAAAACAATAACATAGCGCACTCACTTTAATTCACGTTCAAACTCGCCACAGTTGGATTGCTAAACATTTGCGTGTTGAAAAAGAACAAGATTTATTTATTGTTTCGTTTCGTCATACGTAATAAAAACATTTCAACTTTTTATTGCAGCCTGCATCAGAAATACGTGCTTTTCAATTCGCGAATATCAAGTCTCAAATGACTTGGCGGGATGGCGGAGGCGGAGGATTCAAGAAACCGTTTTCGGAAGGATTGCCATTTTGCAGTTCAGTATACCATCACTATCCCCTACAATATTTATGCTGTCTGCAGTTCCAACAGCAGTCTACGGAAAAAAAAAACAGGAAATAGGGCCAACTGTAGAAATAACTATCAGAGATTGGAATAGAGGCAGATATTCCAGTCTATGAACAATCATTTACCTAGACAGACAATCCCGTTTCCCAGATAATTTGGTTGATTAGATAAGAATCAAAAGAATAGTGATGCTACTTTGAACAAAGATACCGCTGGGAATAGTTATTATCGTGCTTGGAAAGATAAACAATTGTGTCAATGGATCCACTTGATAGACAATAGACTAAAATGTACGTACATCTTATGAAATATTCTTGACTTATATTCATTAGATTTAAAAAAAAAAATAATGTTCTGTTTTTGAAAGATGAAAGTGAATGCCCAATAATTGATAGGTTACCGCATGTGTTATCCAGTTCAGTTGAATAGAATTGATTTATATAATGGAATGTAACTGGTAGCCAAGTTAGTTAAGTCTAAAATAAGTGTCAAGTGGTTTATCTCAGGTTGATATGGCTGATTAATTTATCGGTACCATACCCGGTATTGTTCCATTAGTTTAAACATATTTTATTGAAATATTTTACAATCGGATTGAACACAAGTTATAAAACTCAGGAAACGCTCTTTCCTTTACAAATAGTGATTTACAAATAAGATTTTCAAAAACAAAATAGACAAAAGACATAAATAAATTATTTTACTATAATATTGATAAGAATAGTAAATCTATGAATAAAGAGTAAACAAACAACAAATAGATGTGATACGTGTATATACAAATTATCTTGACTATGACTGAACTGTACCTTTACTATCGAAACGTTTGGTAGATTTGAGAACATGTTTGAATAATTTGGAATTGGATTCAGAGTTTGAATGAATGGAAATATTCTATACAAGTCTATAACAGTATAGCAGCTACTTATTGCATCAAGTAAGACACTTCTTTCGGTATCATATAGCCCACACTCAAACAAATAATGAAAACTGTTCATTTACCGACGGATATCCTTGTTCCACTCCAATCAACCCAAAATTCAACAGAAGCTTGCAGATCTAATGCTTCTCCATGTTTAAGATCAACAATGGGGGCATGTTTCTTAGTCATGCTCAAAATTAACAATTTTACCTGCTCAAGAGCGATTCCCTTATTTTGTTTAGCTTTCTAACAATATTTTATTTGCAGCCCTTTGTGTTCTCATTCCAATTTTAACTGTATCCCTGTTAGATTTACTTACTATTAACTTTTTTGACCTTAATCTAGCTGTCAGCTTTTGGTCTACTTGATTGTAAAGAGGTTTATTATTTTTTACGTGTATTAGACACTTAGATGAATTTAAGGAACTACAGAAGTTTGGATGGTGCAAAGTGATGCTATCTGTGTCCCCGATACACATTTAGAAAAAAATCTTTAGATTGCCTAAATAATTTAAGCGAGACCTGTGCAGGGCTCGTGCATCACGGGATTTGTATTTTAAATCAATTCAAGGTGTTAATAGCTCCATCCTATTCCTTCAGATGAAACCAGTTTGAATTCATTTTAGCATTATGAAATCATCATATTCTTTCACAAACTGAAACCAGTTTTGGTGTGATCATGGGGTCAGTGGCGGAGCCGCCCCCCTTCGCAGCCCCGAAAGCAAGTTTTTCGGGCAAAAATCTCATAACTAGGTTAAACATTCGGACAATCTCAGATATTTCTTAAAATAAAATTTGACTTGTTTTAAAAATGCGACAACCTTCTAGGTTGCGAAAATAGCAAAGGATAATTTCCTTTTTGGCCCCGAGAGCTTGTAAATGTCTCCGATTATAAGGTGTACAAGCTGAGTGTTATAAATTTTCACCAAAAAATAAGGCTCGGATTCGTTGTTAACTTTTAAAGTTCGTACTCATAAAAAAAACTGTATTCCGTTTAATTTTATTGTGAGAAAAGGATTCTGCCACTTTTTTGCAAGCGCAACATCAAACTGTAATCACAAGCACAAGTCCCGATTTATTAGACCATCAAAAAGTAAATATAAGAAAGCCTTTACTGGTCCCTAACGCTCCAAAGCAGGGTTCGTCTTGCGCCCTGCAACTTAAAACAGTACATATGTATACAACATGTATATGATGGTGGTCATTACTATCGGTACCCTATATAGAATGTCACGTGATCACGTGGTATTTGTGTTGAATATTATGGATTGTAACATATCAATTAACAGTGACACTAAAATACACCGGTTAATAACGGCAACACTCACGCATGCGGTTTATTACCTTAGGCTACACGAAGACTGTAGCATCCACCGACTGGGTTTATTCCATGTAGATATGGCCAAATAATTTATTGGTGCTCGCGTTACGTTTGTGTGATGTAAAATTTCATCCACGCCAAGTACTGTGCCTTTACCGACGGATATCCTTGGTCCACTCCAATCCACCCAAAATGGAACAAAAGCTTTTGGGTCTAACACCGCTCCATCGTTACTACCAACAGTGTCTGTGTTAACATTGGTTCTTAAATCTGAATACGAATTTTGACCTGCACCGAAAACAGTTTCATAGACAATGGTTTCTGTAGTTGTACCCTGGAATAATCCAAATTTGGCACTGTTGTCCCCTTTAACAAAAAATACCCAGGATGTTTCTGATACAGCGGTGAAATGTGTGTATTTGTTATATTCGGTGAGTGTTAAAATTAAAGCAATAACACCGTGTCCAAAACACAGCATCACAGAAAATACACACAGATAAATAACACGACACATTTTCATATCAATATTTATAGAGTAATTTATCGAAACATATGTCCAGAATTGACTCTTCTAGAGACAATAATAGTTTTTGCCAAAATGCAGTTTGTGCGTTGATT